AAATACTTTTCTCTAACAAAGTTATTCAAAAAATCCTGTGCTCTTGTGTTTTGTGGCATTTAAATACTATGCCAGGTTCATGACCAAAGCCATCAGACACAACCACCCAGCACTTCCCAAGGGAACACTATACTAAAATGCTTGTGCGGACAGATGCCCCGATGATGAAATGCCACTAAAATGCCTCCCAGCAAAATCAGCCTGAACATACACAGCCCATTTGGGATTTTACTGTGCAGGCCTGTTGACATGGCAGATAGATGCTTCAAATGAAACCAAGGTCTCCCTGTGCTGCTCTGTGTGCAAACACAGAGATTGCCTCTTGTGTGGAAAGACTAGAAAAGTAATTAAGGGTAGCATGAAGAAGAATAGAAATGCTAAGGATTTGGTTGGATTGCCCACGGTAGTTTCAAATTCCCTAGTAATATACTAGAACGATAATTTGTGACTTCTGGGGTCAAAAAAAAAGGGGGGAGGCGGGGGGAAGACAGCCGCCTCCAAAGTCAAATGCAGTGAGGGAGAAGCGTGCTTGTACCATACACATTAGAGAGGTACCGAGTCTACACTTGCCTCTTGGCAGTTAAAAAAGCTCACACACCACCTGTGCTGCTATGGGGTCACCAAGTCCAAAATCCAAACCAGCTCATCGGAGCCTGCTGCTCTCCTGTAGTCCATAATGGAGACAGACATCAAGGTTACAAGCAGAAAGGATGCCCAGACAATTAGCAAAATACAGTTGCCATTCCTGTTGTTGTTTTTCACATAAAATAGTTTAAGAATGGCATCAGTCAGTACCAAGTCTGGATCAAAAACATCATCAAACCCCACTCTTCCAGCAACACAGAAACTCTCAAAAATTCTGCTGGCTGAAATATGGCTTGGAGAAAGAGTGCACCCTCAGTAACTGACTCAAAACTCCTACTTCTTGCAACTCCAGGGATTATTTTTCATATAGTATCTACCTATTCACTAGCTAAATCTAACCCTGCTTAGTTTATGACTGCACCAGAGATGGCTTTTCTCCAGACAGCTTCTGTGGCCTACTTACCACCCCTTTTGTTAATAGGATGCTTTGCCTCCACTTCAAAGGTTCATTCTCATGTGCAGGATTTTTTTTTTTTTTTTAATTTGCTTTGGTTGCTAAGGGGGAAGCTTTAGCATGGTGGGCAAGGATTTAGTCACATGTGAGCTAGTGAGCTACAGGGAACATTATCCTTAGAGATTAATTTGGAAATCAAGTGACAATCAGCTGGGTGTGTGTTTATTTTCTATTTCTCGAAAGCTTTACAAGTACCACAGAATTTTTGCATTCTCTGAAGGAGATCTATTCTTCTTCTTCTGTATTATTCAACCTCAGAGACAACAAAGAGATTACCATGCTTGTCTCCAGTGTCAGAGATAAAATTAGTGATTTCACTGCAAATCAGAAAACAAACTAGATAGTTATGAAGAACAGCTCTACACTCATCAAAAGGTTGTTTCACAACCACCTTTCAGATGTACTGAAGGCAGCTGCCTTACTGTGAAGTTAATTCAATAAGCAGAGGGAACGTTAATTCATTTGGTACATACTGTTTGCTAATCAAAGAGTATTTCTTGGCATCTAAACTGTGCGTGACAGAATGTTAAGCCTTAAAACATATTCTTAGTCCTCAAAGTTTTTCATCAAATCCAAGAAAGATAACATGCAAGCATGTGAGAGATTCTCCTCATTCAAGTAAGGATGACAAAAGCTGTGTTACAAAGTTTTGTAACACTGAGCTGTGGTCCTAGGAACAGCTTATGAGAAACAGCTTTTCCCTCTTGTATTTGTGCAGAATAGAAAGCTTGATGACGTTATAATTTCTCCTTCTTTCAAATTATTGCCCCACTGAGTATTAATTGTGATGACAGAAGCGAAGCCTGTGAGCAAACATTATCAGTAAAAAACAGTCCTGATGTATCTTCTACTGAATTGAGTCTTAGGAGCATGAAACTGTTTTTTTTAAAATCAAGGTTACCATAGGCCTTCCACCTCTCTATTTATCTGTGCTGTAGGGAACAGGATGAGGAATAACAGCACTTCTCCTTCTGAAATGCATCACCTTAGGAGACTGCTCTACTGCAGTACAAACATGTGGGCCTCCATCACCACAAGCAACCATGATGAAGAGCTATTAAACCAACCATCTGGTGCTGGCTACAGAGAAATATTTCACTATGCTCTTTCACATGAGCTAGAAAGCAGTAGAAAGGAGCATGGATTGCTGCACAGTGTCTGCTTGCAGTTTTCCTGCTCTGAAGGATGCTGCAACTGAGAGAAACCACATTCTCCCTCTCAGGTGACCATTGCTCTTGAAATCGTAAATAATCTCCTGAGCAACAAACAACTTCAGAGATCAAAACTTGATATGTTTTATTGGATCTGAAAGGATCTAAACTTGCTCTATTTTCAGAATTAACTCAATATGTAAATGAAAATGGCCACTGTAAGGATGGGGGAAAAAAAAAAAAGAGATAACTAAGGGGTTTATTTGAAAATACCAAAGGAACATTTCTTAAATGTAGTATTTCATTTAGGGGGAAAAAACCCCACACCAGAATTATTTGAAAAATTCAACCTTATTCCACATTTGCATTCAACTCCACCCAAGTGTGGTTACAAAACTGCTGCCAAAAGCAAGATACTGCATTCTTAACTCAAAGCTCTTCACCAGCATTTGTTAATAAGCAGAAAATAGTATCAAATGTATAAATCTATGCAGCAACTAACAACAAAAGCACATGTGTTATCCAGCTGGACACAATAATGGGATTTGATCTGTGTATTTATTCCAAAAAGGACAGAATAATATTTTTACAAGTAATTGTGAGATGGTTCAAAGTAGCAAACACAGGACAGCTGGAACATATGCCCCAGCATAATCCAGTATGGATTACATACTTTTAAAATACTGAAACATCAATGCAGCGAGATTGAAGAAAATGCTGTAAATTCTAGTAATTGTGCTGCATCTTTTAATTGCTCATCTAGTTATTTTTTAACAGGATTATCATCAAATGAGAAGCTGCTCTACTTCATGTTTACTTTCAGAGCAGTTAACTTGATGCACCAGCTCACTTTCTGCATAGATTAACACACATTCCAAGCCTGTGTTTTCCTGCAGCGTATTTCTGTAATAAGTAGTAGGATTTCAAAATGAGCTGCCACGCTTGAAAGACTAAATACGAGCAATTTTAAAGGTCCATTTCTTTTGCAATGGCTAAAATAGTTATGCAAAGAAGGAAAAAAGTATTCATTCAGCAGATATGATTACACACTTGTGGCTCATGTGAAAATCTCAGTTGCAATTTGGAAAAACAACATTTCCAGGTATTCCAGCCCAATTATTTACTGACATTTCAAGTTATATTCTCAAAATTTGCTTTAGAGAAAGGCATACTAAAAGTCCAAGGCTCAAGCCATTCAGAGCTCAGCTCAACATATCCAGAATCCATTTGTACTTTTTGTCTTTCCAAACACCTTCAAGGAAGCACACTATGAGCCAGAGAAAAAGAAAAGGCTTTTTAATGGCTATTTTATTGATGCAGCAAGTTTGAAGAAGAACCTGGTAGTTTCTTGATTGTGCTTCTTCATGTTCTGAAGAACACTCAGAAAGATGTTTTCCAGGGAAAACAAATCCCTGAACAAGGTGAGTGTTTAACAGTAAAATCCATCAACAAAGTAGTATTTCAGTACAGAGAATTGCTCTTCAGACTCACCAGAAAGGGAGATCCCCAGTCCAATGGAGCCTGTAAAAACATAGGTGAAGGATGTACAAAAAGCTGCAAGTGCAGTCACACATGCACTTCTGAATCATATTCCACTGCTTATAAAACCTTCTGTGTCAGTGTTTTACCATTTCAGATAAAGTTTTTCCCTGGTTTTGAAAGTTAACAGTCGCTTAGGAAAGCTGAGATAAAAATGGCTCAGCCTTTCTCAGAAATGAGGCATGTTTCTTTTGTAGGGTGTAGTGTCACAGACACTGCGTCGTTCATCTCCTAGAAGGGGACAGTTTTCCCAGTAGACCTTCCTGGCACAGGCACATCCATGCAGAGAGCAGAACATTAGCAGGCCATTGATCCCCATTATAAATTTTTTACACTCTGCAACTCTTCTTCTTTTTTCACGGGGGGGGGAGGGGGGGGGCAAAAAAAAAAAGCTTTGTGTCTTGGCATTAAATTTCAGGTTTCCTACCAAGCTGTCAAGAACATAGTCATACATACATGCCTTTAAGCTGAAAATTGGCTGTGATTTATCAAAGTCAGAATAGTATAAATAATGCATGTCTTGCACAGACGACTTTTTTTGTAATGTAACAACTAATAGCCTGTCAACACAGTATTCCATGTACACAACCTCTACAATGGTCTGCAGTCTCTTTCCTGCATGATAAATGAAGGCCTGTTAGGAAGCAAATTCACTCTAATGGTGTCCTGATATCTTTGATATAATGAGCGATGGTATGCACAGGGAAAAGCCATATATCTTTAAGGTGTGTGAACGTAGTTAAGGATGCAAATTCTGCAGTGTCAGGTTTTGCTGATGAGCCAAAATGAAAAAATTATTTAGCCAATACCTGAAGCCTGATGCATAAATAAAAACTTAAATTATCTAGATCATTCAGATTGATTTGTCCACATCCAGTAAGGAAATCCAAGGCAAGATGTTCAGTGTTCATGGTAAGAAGCCACATTTGAAAAACAAAACAAATGGAAAAACCTGCATTCAGAAAAAAAAAAAGGCTAAGCCAATCCCGTAAGATCTCATTAGGCTTTAGTGCCAAATTTTCTTTCAAGATACAAAAGCATCTCCTTCAATGTGTTGCTCTTTAAATATTTTAGGATTATGCCCATGTTCTGACTCAGCCACAGTAGCATGGAAGAAATACATCTGCTGGAGCTTCTTTAAAAGGAATTAGAAAAGCAGCATTACCAAAACACACATTCAGCACAGTCAGCACATGTTACCCACCAGAAACTTACCTTTCTGTGATTGTTTCTCTGAGACCACTAGCAACCCCTTTCACCACTGTACTAGCCTTTGGCGTCAGCACTACTTGAGATATAAAAAAGGAGCCCTTCTTTCTTCTTTCAGTGATTGATGCCTGGAGGAATTGAATCAGTTTTTCCGGATCTGTTGTGTTTGCCCAAGGAGCTGGCATCATCTGACCTGGCCAAAGGAATGGTACCTCAAGAGCCACTGGACTGTGGTAGAACACCAGCACTTGGTGTTCTTTTTCCCACAGGTACTGGAGGCTGACTTCATGGGCAAATATGGCAGGACACATTTTGTTTCCATACGTGTCTTTGAGCATTTGGACAAGCTTTTCATGATGGTACTTCTGCATCCCGTAGAAGTGATTGAAGTCCAAGAAGACCACTTCTTTAGGGTGGTCAGCAAGAAACGCATTGATCTCTTCCAGACCCTCCTTGACCTTGGCACTGAATAAACCATGAGCAAAGTAGAGTTCATTGTCTGGGTCTCTGGGCTTGGTGGAAATTCTAAGATCAAAATACCGTATACCTGCCCCCAGTTGGCTGGTGAAGTTCATGGTCTGTGTAGCCAACCACTTCCTCATCAGCTTTTTAGCCACAGTCCCAAAAACAGACACAAAATTCTGGACCGTCTCTGGCTGTTCGGGCCCAACTGGAGAGGCTTCGTCGATGTAGAAGCTAAATGAGTCATGAGACCCTAAAAACACAACAGAGGAAAATGATCAATATTGTATTCATATATTGAAAGTAATTAGTGATTCTTTCTTAATAAACATAATTCTCTGACCTGTACCAACACTCACCAACAGACTCCTCCCCTGCCCTTTTTCTCAATACACTACATTTGTCTGGCAGCATTTACCCCACCAGCACCTCCCAGGAACTCGCACCTCTAAGCTCAGTGAAGCCAGTGGGCTCTTGAATGTCAAAGGAATCCTGGTGTAACTGCAGCAAAGCTAGTCACGTAATAAATCCCTAGAGCCAAGGAGGAAAGTCTGGCCCTGCACACTGAATTGTGCGCCATCTAGTTCACAGAACCAAAGATAAACCAAACCAAACCAACAATATCCCGCACACACACCTTTATCGCCAGCTAAAGGAAGAGTTGAAAAATGCCAAGGACATGTAACCTTTCTGACCTTTTCTTTATTTCAGATCTCATCTGGCCATCAACAAGGTTACTGATGATGTTTTCCTTCTTAAATTCACCTCTAAAATTCTTTGCTTTCCTCTGCTACATAAGTACAATAGACAAAGCCAAGGATAGCACTGCAGTCCACTGATAAAACACAGAAACTCCCCTGCACGTTCTTGACAAGAGCAAGACATACTACTTAACATGCCTATGTACAGAAGTTATCATTTTTCACAGCTTGACAAAGTTGAATACAAGTATGTAAGACACGTTGCTATGCAAAATTCTCTTTGTCTCAAGGTATGTCCATTAAAAAAAAAAAAGACCACAAAACAAAAAAACAACTTATTTTGCTCAGCATTCAGACATTTACATGACAGCAGCTTATAAAGCTAAGGACATCGGCAAACACATAATCATTCTTCTGTAAGGGACTTTGTCTTGCTTTATGGAGACATGAGCTGACCCTAGGAGATGCTCATCACCCTTCCCTACAACTAGCCTTCTGAATACCTGGTGGTGAAATCTGGCAGTTTATACAGAAATACTGTCCGGCTGCAGGCAGAGCTGCACTCCCACTGTCCCAGCCGGAGGGGATCCTTCTGGTCAGACCCACCACAGCAAGCAGGTCTGCTCCTCAGCTTACGTCACACCGCTTGCAAAACTCTTTCAAGGTCAGCAGGACTTGTATTTCTGAAATGGACTGTAGCACTAGGCCCTCAGAGATCCAAATCTATCATCAAAGTGAGTTCAGAGCACAAGTCTTGTCTGCTACTGATGCTTTTGTAGTTGCCTTTCAAAATTACTTTACAAAGCACGCACACTGTGGCAAATAAGTATCACACTAACGAAATCCTGCTAGTCAGTCATTTCTGATGGCGATGCTATTTTAACTGAACTGGAACAAACCCTATAAAGTGAAGTGACAGCTATAACATTTTCTTCTTTAACAATAAATGGAGTCACGACAAATCATTTTAAGCTCTGGCTTGGATTTTGCTTTGTTTAATCTGAGAAATGTCTTAAAATTTTATACACCCCTGCTTTTCATGGCTGTCTCTTTGAACTGCATTTTACTTCAAGCATTAGATAAATTTTCCATTTTGATGAAGCTTTCTACTGCTAAGTGTTGAAGCGATAGCATATTCCTCGCAGAACCTGATTAGATCATGGCATATCTGGTTACACACTGATATCCCAGGGGACCAGATCTGCATGCAGAATTTTAATGGTAAAACAAATAATTAGAGCAGTGACTTGTGTTTCAACAGTATTACAGGGAAAAATCAATGATACGCATTAAATGTTCTGCTCAATGTAACCTGCACTAATCTAGAAATCAAAGTAAATCCAGTCTTGTTCAAAACAAGGCGTAGCTACTGATATTAGCAAGGGATGGATCTTGCAAACCCTCACTTTGTCCACGGAAGTCCCTATTATTTCAGTAGGATTTTATGTCAGAATAAGTACATGTATAAACATGATCAAGCGTGGCCAGCAGGTCGAGGGAGGTGATTCTGCTGCTCTGCTCTGGTCAGGCCTCACCTGGAGCACTGCATCCAGCTCTGGAGCCCTCAGCACAAGAAGGACATGGACCTGCTGGACCGGGTCCAGAAGAGGGCCACAAAAATGATCCGAGGGCTGGAGCACCTCTCCTGTGAGGCCAGGCTGAGAGAGTTGGGGTTGTTCAGCCTAGAGAAGAGAAGGCTGCAAGGAGACCTTATTGCAACCTTCCAATGCTTAAAGGGGGCCTACAGGAAAGATGGGGAGAATCTTTTTAATAAGGCCTGTTGTGACAGGACAAGGAATAACGGATTTAAACTAAAGAAGAATAGATTTAGACTAGACATGAGAAAGAAGTTTTTTACAATGAGGGTGGTGAAGCACTGGAACAGGTTGCCCAGAGAGGTGGTGGAGGCCCCATCCCTGGCAACATTCCAGGTCAGGTTGGATGGGGCTCTAAGCAATCTGATCTGGTTAAAGCTGTCCCTGCTCACTGCAGGGGGGTTGGGCTAGATGACCTCTAAAGGTCCCTTCCAGCCCAAAGCATTCTATGATTCTATGATTCAACTGATTGCAGCAGTAGGCTCAAAATAGTATTAAGGTTCATTAAACCATTTGTCCTTTATTGTCTGATCTACAGCCACTGGCAACCTGAAGTTGCAGAAGAGGTACCTAAACTTGACCACCATGGCCAATATGCAACACAGTGCCAAACACTACTTAAAACTATGTAAGTCAAGAGAGGCAGAACAGTTCTCACAGCAGAAAACTAAGGTGAAAAACTTGTCAGCAGGCAGCTTTTAGCTATTGGTAATGCAAAACACAGAGAAGAGCATGTAGGAGGTGGAGGAAACACCACAGTTAGAAGTGGCTGAACATTACAAGCAGGATAGTTTAGAAAAAATATTTTTTCTTAATTAAGGTCTTCATGCACATATTTGAGCCTAAAAATGGGGACTCCCACAGGTAATGTACAGAGAAAAGCACACATTGCACTGAGAACCTCCATGTTCTGTAAGCAAAACAAGGAGGCCCTATTAAGTACTACAAAAAGAAAATAAGGCTTGACTTAACTTGGTTGACACTGAACTACGCAAATGTCAGCTATTCAAGAGTATGTAAAGATTCCTCCTGACTGAAAAATACAGCAAATGTTTTGTCTTTCCACATGTATAAGTAATTTGAACAGATCATTTAAATATTTATTTTCATCATGCACTCATCTACATTGCCTTTGCCTTCATCCTGCCCTCTTGTACTAACCAACTTACTCATGTAACTGGGGGAAATTAAAAAACCTTACACTTGGCAGAACAAATTAGAGTACGCTCTTTTCCACTGTCATGCCCCAAATTGCTATGTTCCTGGTAATGAGAGAAGCATGTACAAACATACACTTGTTTTTAGCAACCAGGTTTCCTTCCAACTTTGCTTTGGTGCATGGGGACATTCCCATCCTACTTTGCTGCTGGGAAGTGGACTTGCAGGTTCTCTGTATCACCAAATCTCAGCTCCCATAAAGACAGGATGCAGACTACATTCAGAAATACTAATGCAATGATGCCTGCAATCTTTGGAAGATAGCAATGCTTGCACATCAGCTATCTTCATTATAGTAGGGCAGGGGACATGCTAACCAGATGTATGGGACAGTCTCTATGACAGAGACTTCACAGTCTGAGACATAGGGAAGCAAAAGAGAGGGGAAACTACTCATCCCGAGTCATTCAGGGATGACGAGTGAGCTGATATTCCTTGTGTGTAAACATACTTTCTCACCAGTTTACTAAGTGTCTAGCACTCTCTTAAAATATTGCACACTGTTTTCCCACTATTTCTACTATATCGTTGATCCAAGGAGACAAGGATGAAGACTCATGGATCAGGATCACAGGGGTGGCAAACAAGGGGTAAACATTATGTGCATATGCTACAGACTGCCCAGTCAAGAAGAGAAAGTGGACAAGCCTTCTTTAAAGAGCTGGAAGGAATCATAATTACAGGGCCTGTTTTCATGGGGAACTTTGAGACATTTGGAATAGTAGAACAGCAGGGCACAGACAGTCTGGAGAGCATCAAACACTTTTTTTCTGCAGCCACTCCTTTAAGCAGACAAGGCGCGCTGCTGGACGTGGTACGAATTAAGGAAGAAATGGCTAGGGACATGAAGGCTGATGGCAGCCTTAGCCAAAGCGACTATGAGGTGATACAAGAATTTAAAATACTGAGGAAAGCAAGGAAGGCAATAACTGAATAAAGATCCTGGATTTCAGAGCAGCAGTCTTAGCTTGTTCAGGAAATTGGTAAGTGGTAGCCTGTGGGAGAATTACCTTAAATGCCAAGGGACTCGGAAGAAATGGTTGAAATGGAAAGACAACCTCTCTAAAGCGTATGAACAATCCACCCCAGTGTGCAAGAAAACAAGGAGGTAAGGCAGGAGGCAAGTTTGGCAGAATGGGTAACTCCTGAGTGAGCTCAAACTTAAAAAGCCATGCACAGAAGGTGTAAGCAAGGACAGGTTCCCTGGGAGGAACAGAGGAGGAATGCAAAGAGAGAGCTAGGAAGTTCACAGCTTGGCTGGAATTCCTGCAAGGGATGGGAAACCTGCAAGGGATGGGAAAGGCAACAGAGAGCTCCTGCACACACATCAGCAGCAAAAGGGAGCAAGGAGAATGCTGGCCCACTGCTGAACAGGGCAGGAGACCTCATAACGCCCGACAAGGAAACTACTGAAGTACTTGGTATCTTCCTTGCCTTAGTCTTCACTGGCAAGGTCTGTTCTCAAGCACCCCATGTCTCCCTGCCTAGTACCTTCTTTTTTTCAAACTGCTTCTCATTAGTAAAAGGTGACTGAGTTAAGGCCTACTTATATAGGTTAGACACATATAAGTAGACAGGACAAGACAGGATTCATCTGAACACACAAAAGGCACAGGCCAAGATCACCGTAAGGCTGCCCTCTCACCTTTGACAGGTCATGCTGACCAGATGAGGCAAAAGTTACACTCATCTTCAAAACAGGAAAGCAGAAGAATCCAGGGAACAACAGTCCATCGGATTCATTTCAGTCCCAGGGAAGATCACAGAGCAAGTCCTCACGGAAACCATTTCCAGCTTATGAACGGTAGAAAGGTGACTTGGAACAGCTACTATGGATTTAACAGGAGCAAATAATGACTGGCCAACCTGACTGCCCTCTAGGACAGAACAACTGGCTTTAGGGAAAACAAAATTTTCCTTTTACTTCAGCAAGGCTTTTAACACAGTCTCCCTTAATATGCTAACTGGGAAGACACCAACAGACAAGTGCACTATAAGTTATGTGAAAAACTGCTTGGACCGTCAGGCTCAAAAGGCTGTGGCTGAAGGTTCAAAGTCTTAACTTGCAGCTGATTACAAGCCAATTCTGTTTAATATCTTCATCAGTGACACAGACAATGTGATGGGGAGCACCCTCAGCAAGTTTAGAGGTGAAACCAAGTTGGGAGAAGAGGTTAATGCTCTGGAGGGGAAAGTTGGTATTCAGAGAAAATGCAGCACAGCAGAGAAGCTGGATGACAGCAACCTTAAGAAGTTCAAAGGCAAGATGGACCCAGCACAGAACCCCATTCAGTAGCACAGCTGGGGACCAACTGTCTAGAACGCAGCTCTGCAGAAAGAGACTTGTTCACTTGGACATACAGAAAAAGCAACTTCCCCGCAAGACCAGTTAAGCCCTGGAGCAGGAGCCCAGCATGGCTGGGCTCTGTATCCCTGATTCTCAACACTTGGCTTGAAAGCCTCATCTAACTTGGAGTTAGCTCTGCTTTGAGCAGGGGATGGACCAGATGACTTCTGGAGCTCCCTTCCAATGTAAATTATTCTGTGTTTGCTTATTCCCCCTGTTCCCCAAGATACAAAAGATTAATTTCTTGTCTCTCAACCTTAGAAGCAATTATCAGCAGACACTGCACCAGCCATGATCCAAAAAAATGGAAGTGGCTAGTTTCAACCACCAAGACATTACATTTTCATTAACTTAGATGTGGCCAAACACTATTTAGATATTCAGGAGTAAAATGTGTAGTATCACTTTGCAAGAAAACAGCTGCTAGTACTTTTACTAGGGAGAAAGTCTCCTGTTTTCTTTACTGAATTCCCTTAATGGGACAGTTGGGAATATACCCCACTACAGCTCAGCTGTGGACATATTTATGGCTTCCCTGGAGGGCTGAATCCCCCATTTAAAAAATAATTGGGCTCAATGCTGAAAAAAGTCCCTCAGGGAGAGGGCATTTCAGTTAGGAATTGTTTCTTCAGTCCCACAGAGATTTACAAAGAGGCACAGCAAAACTACTATTTTTGGTGGCTAAATGTTAACATATCATTCATAAAGCAGGCAAGCGTAGCTGAACCCTGCCTTTCCTTTGCCTCACTCTTGGTTCTGACCATCCCCTTTAACAAACACGGGGTAAACAGCACCTAAAATAGAGGTACTGAATCAAACAGCACTGCCCAGCATGCTCCTGACAGCAGCAGCCACACCCTGAAGATCCACAAGTCACAGGAAAACCACAGACAGAAATAAAGTTTCACAGTTTTTGGCATGTTTTACCTCAGGCTCCTCCTGTCTCTGCAGTAGGAGTTACCCAACAGCTGTTGGAAGTGGGCTCTTGTGCTACCACTCTGGGTGTCATTAAAAGCTTTACCTGCTGTTGTCTTCCCATACAGAGGAGATGACATCCCTTGGTGACCATTGCTGAAACCTCATATGGGGTGCAGTCTCACTTTTTTTGAAAACATCCTTGTCAATGAGGGCTATACAGTGACTGACATCAGATCACAACACCTTTCTTGGATGTTGTGGAGAACAGCTAGGACAAATTCCATGACCTCTGGCACACAGGAGACCAATATAGGTATTCTCCCAACCTCATTTGGTCTGTTCCCACTGTCTTGTTTGGCCTTAAAAATTAATCAAAGAAAAACAACTCCCTATGAATCTTTACCTAATCACACTGCTATTTCAAGGAATAGCAAAGCCTAGTCACGACCACTAGATTTGGTGTACCTCAATATTTTGTTTTACCTGCTTTTTAAGATGGCTAAGCACTGTTCTCCACCAAAGCCACAGCACATCTCAGGAAGACAAAAGGTTTTACCAAGAGCAATGCAATTCAGACTTCACAGTCCAGTTACCTTTAGCATTTAAACTGCTTGGGTGATACAAGCTTTGTTTGGTAAAAATATTACCCAGGAGAGCAAACCAAAAACAACTGGGAAAAAAAAGAGATTATAGATTGTGCAGTGACCAAGCTTCTCAACAGGTAACTGTCCACTTATCAGGTGTTCTTCCAGTGTTCATCACCAGTCATGCACCCCTGACACCAACCAAAGGTCACAGGGCTTAGCCACCTATATACACTCAGCACTCCATGATCCAAAGGAATGGGAAAAGAGGCAGACGCTACCTCACATAATGCAAAAATCCAGATAATGAATAAGCCATTAGAGTCAGAACAAGAGTATATGTGTATGACCCATTCTTGCATACACAGGCCCACCGGCTATGTATCTGATCACATTAAGTTATGGTCTAATGTGTACAGACAACTCTCTGCTACTCATAAAACCTCCTTCTAGACTCATAAACTCTGTCAAAACCCTATGAGAAACAGCTTGGTTCTCCAAGCACCATGCTGCTGTTTCTAGGTAAAGCAGTGAAAGATGCACAGGCAGCCCCAGGCAAGTCAACATACATCTGGTGAAGAGGAACTGAGAAGCCTAAAACTACCCCTCTGCAGAGAGACTAGGTAGCTTTCTCCCTGCAATCCCCAAAACTTTTCTTTTGTTCTGTGTCTGAATTAAGAAGCCTGCAGAGACTGAGCTGGCCACCTACCAGGTCTCACCCACCTGAACCCCATGGTCACAACAAGCCAAACTGCCATAGTTAGCCAAGGGTGCAGGTACCTGGCAAGCAAGTTCATCCACAGTCTCGCCCCGCCACCTCAACCTCCAACAGTTGCATGGGATTTTGACAACTCCCTACCCGCAAGCAGTTCCTCATAAATTAGCCCAGCTTTTCAGACAATGCTGCCTGCCGTGCCAGCAGGATGATGCATACCTTTTAGCTTTCTGAAGGCTCAGGAAACCTTCTCAATGGAAAGCCGGAGCAGTGGGTGCTCTTACCAGAGTCCTGGCCACCCAAACAACCACACATTCTTGTAACTTGGTCTCAGCATGGAAATCAGGATTTTCATTAAAAATAAAGTCAGACTTTTCTTTACGAGAGGAACTCTTTATAATATGTAAGAATATCTGGGTTTTATTCAAGTGAACCTTCTAATCAGAAATTAAGAAAAAAATATTTTATAAGCCTGCATTTTGTAGGTGGTGAGCTAGTCCATACATAAATCAAACCAAATCACCCCCTCTCAAGCAGTGAAAACAGAAGAGCTATTTCATTTTTTGTATATAAAGCTCTGAAGTTTCTATTAAAAAAAGACAAACCAAAATGAAGACTTTTTAAAATAAGCCCATTAAACAAACTTGAAATGTCTGTGAGGTAACATGAACACTAATCATTCCACTTCTTAAATCAAATCTTTTTCCAGGTCACACAGCACAAACAACTTTATATCCAGACAGTTAAATCTTTCAAAGTCAACAGTTTTAACCTGTTAAGTAAGCATTTTAATGTTTTCAAAGTATAACTACAGGAATGAATTAACCTTGGTTTTTTATGGGAGATTACCAATAAAGTACGAATCCAGAGCCCAATCCTAAGCATACTTAACCATTTAAATGGTTTTAATCATGTGCATGAATGTCTGCAGGAAAAAGCCCCATTTTGCTTTAGCTTCTTTCAGAAAAACAGAATTCCAGATTGCTTTGGAGTTACATTAACACCAGCTAAATTGAAGTCATCAAGTATCTGGGAGCAAGAAGAGGCAGGCAGTGACAAAAGAGAAAATGTATTCTGGTCGTGTTTAAGAACATAAACAAAAAAGGTGCAGGAGTGACAGAATGAAGCTTTTAAAGCAACATTTGCTACACCACTATTAACTTTGAAAGAATTTAGATGCTGCTGCAAATACAGCACAATCACAATTGCCCCATCAGAAGTCTACTCCCCAGTCTGCCCACGTCCTCTGTGCCAGTCCTATCGCCTCCAACAAAGTCTTCTCTTCCTCCGCTTATATCCCCTTCTGCCTTGAAGACCTCGGTGATAATGTGGGAAAAGGAAAGGAAATGTTTGCTTCCTTCCCTCCCCATTACTTCCCAGAACCCCAGGCCGCCCCCCGCCTCATTCCCCACCCTCCTCCTGCAGGAGATAAAGGTGCATTTTCCCTCTGCCACCGGGTGAGTCCCAGACCGGCCCTTGGAATTGCACATAACCATAACCTGGACCTTGGTCCTGTGCCTATGGACACAGCACCAGGAGTCTGTGCTGTGCTGCCTTACTGCGACTCTCACTGCAGACAAAGTTGTGTGTCAGACAATCTGAGAAACCAGATAGGTGCACAGTAATTAGTATGCAAACATTGTAGCATGGTTTGCTTGCAAGGGTGAGCAGAACTACTTTGTATTAAAAACCACTTCAAAGTCATGTTTTGTCAACCTCTGCCAGACATGGTTTCTAATACTACTTCTGCCATAGGTGGACCTCTGCATTTCTCAGCCAAAACATCTCCGTTGGAGCGCCTTAATCCACAGGGACTGTCACAGCACAACTACAACAGCTGCATCGACTACTGGATCAATGAACACAGCCTAGAACTGCACGTGGCAAAGTATAAAACATACAAAACCCAGCACAAAGCAACTGCTCTTCGTCAATGTAATACAGAACAGAGAGTTTATCCTTCAGAGAATCACATAATAGTGGAGTTTGGAAGAGACCTCTGGAGGTCATCTGGTCCAACCCCCCCTTCTCCTGAGTCCAAAGAGAAGTGAAAGAAAGAAAAATATTTGCACAGATTACTACAAATCATTGAAGACTGCTCAAAAGGACCTGTCTGAACCAGCCTCTTAGCTAGGAAGAAAGAAGAACTGGTAGTCCATCAGTCTGGAGATGGCATCCTGTATCTAGTGACCAACTTTCAGACCTGGAATGACTCTATGTTTTTGTCCTCCCTATAAACAAAATTTTCATGCACAAGACAGGATTTTAAGCTACTGCTTACTCTTGTTCCTCTAGTATCTCCTTATCACCTATGAAACACTCCTGAGGATCATTTTGGTTTGTGATTTTGAACATGGCTACAACTGCCTCCAAGGGGAGCCTACAGCTGTTGACATTGCCAATAATCTCCAGGGCCATGACAAGCTGCTCTTGACTCAGGCCGAAGCTGTTACCATTTTAAATTGTTCTTTAAGAGACAGCTTGTGGACTATGGCAGTGCCTGCAGGGAAGTGTTTCTGGTTACTAGACTGAGCCAAGATCAGTGCCTCACCTAAGCACAGCTTCTTTCCTGTAAGGAACTCACTTCTAAAATCGAACAGGTTGGGAGGTGGGGAAGGATCTACTTGGCTTTAAGGCCCAAGATAACTGGCAATTACCACACTATGACAGGCAAGCTTGGCTCAAAATCTGATTAGGTTACTCAATATTCAATTCATACTAACACATTTAGCGTACACAAAACTACCCACATTCAGACTCTTCAGCTCCCTCCTGCAAACGCAAAGACCAGCTCCTGTTGCTCTTAGAACACTACATCAGTTAATTCCACATTTCAAATTCTCAACACTCTGTTGAAAAGTAAAGAAATAAGAAAAAACAAGCTGTAATTATATTTCTAGCTCTCCAAACAGTGGGAGCACATTCACAGCTATGGACATCACAAGGCCAATTCTGCTAAAGAAACTATTCTTTAACAGAAAATTAGCACATGCTGCCCTCCTGAGGGCACATTTCCCCTCTTACTTGGTAACTTCCTTACTGTCCTGTAATTAGTTGTGTAGGAGGAGGTGCTATAATGTTTTCTGAGACACTGCTAAGTGTAGATAGCCTCCCACCTCTTCCCAGTCAAACCACCTCCAGACAGATTTCCTTGCAGACTTCAAGCAGGCAGCACACAGAAGACAGCACAGTGGAGCAGTACATGAGTGGCGGGGGCTTTCCAGGAGCCCCAGATTACTGTACTCTAAAAGCTCACCATTAAGGGAATTATTAGTTTCATCAAATGTAGGTTCTAAACAAGCCAGTCTTTACTCAGACAAATGTAAGATTAACACCACTGGAAACCTGAAAACGGGCTGCACGATCAGGCCACAGTGCAGAGTGGAGCAGGCTAATTCTCACATTTAATCAGCTCTGTGGAGACCTTGCCCAACACCACAGTGGCAGCAGGGCAAGCTCTGGGCAGCACCGCTGCTCACAATGTCTCCCCATCTCCATGGCCCCAAGAGCCAAGCGCAAGTCAGGCCACCAGATTTCCTGCAGATATCTAAATGCAAACAGCATGGGGAACATTTTTTCATTATAGACATAGAAGTGGAAAAGATCATGTTGGAACATTGAGAGAATCAGTTGGTGTGCCTTCCCCACTATTTTTTCCGAATGTGATCTAAACCTCTCGCCTGTGCACAGAAGAAAAGGTGGAGGAGCAAGACAGTAATATCACCTGTGCGTACACCAAATGCAAAAAAAAAAAAAAAAATCACTGTTGGATGTTTGTGCACCGCACTGAAAATTTTAGAAGGTGCAAAAGCTTTAAAACTTTTACAGCCTGCCCTACAATAAGCCACAAATTAAAAAAAAAAAAAAAATTATTTGTTCAGTCAAGTGAAACTGTAAAGATGATTTGACGATGGTTTGTGAGCAGACACATAGCACAAATTCTGTCATAGAAGAAGGCTCCCTTCACCTATCCGGCTAAAAATCAGCAGGATTCATGGAACAAGAACTTCAACTCAAACTTACAAAAATCAGTAAATCGGCTCTTTTTTCTGACACAGCAAGAGTAACTACCAATTTTTTTTAAAAGAATCTTTACATCACGATTGATCAAGCACCTAAAACATATAGTTTAAGATGATCAGAAGTTACAAATTTCAACAGCAGACTGGACACAGCACTATGGCTTGCATGTTGCAGGTGAAGCACTGTGATAGGCAGACTGCCACAGCCTTCTCATTTAGGAATTTGATTGCCTATACGAAGATTGAATAGTATATTCTATATCACATTAATAAGCATCACATACAACCTTGTATTTTATGGACAACTATAATCTGAAGACAAAGTAGCTATCTAATCACTTAGAAATAAAATACTTGGGGGCAGAGCTGTAGCTACTGTCTATCACCAGCACTCCACAAATGACAATCCTTTCAAGTTTTGCATTTTTGGGAACACTGCAAACAAATCTACTATGCTATTTTTAGTTTTTGCTCTGCAAGCTCCCTGCTGCTTGTTCAGATACATCAGAGATCTCTATCAGATCTGACATGTTAGTTAAATGCTAGTGTCAGAAGTACCGTATTAGCTATCTTTCTTCTTAATTCAGGGACTAGCATACAAGAATGTGAACATTTCAGGGAGGAAAAAATAGCAAGAGGTATATCGGATTCTAAGCATAAAATTAACGTGCCAGGAATAGTTTGGGGCGTATTGTATTCCAGCACCAGCTCAGTGTGGCTGAGTATGCCATCACTATCCAAGTCATATCTCCTGGGGCAATCAGTGGCACTTGAATTGTGAGTCAATAGCTTTGGGACTAGCGAGAAGCTGTGATGACCCTGGGCAGCTCTGCTGAGCATGCGAAATGGCATCTCCCCACAGTGAGTGCCTTGCAATCATAATTCTTGTTCATAACCCTAATGCTACCATTGACAGGACAGCCTTGAAGGGCAGTATGCAACTGAGGAGGCTTATAAAAAGAGAACAGGCTGTCGATCTGTTCATATCTCTTCCTCTCCATGCACAGAGAAACAGAGATCATTACTTGTTATGTATAGCCACAAGTAATTCAATGTTCATGATCTAGAACAGGATCAAATCAGACAACCTCTGCCTCTTGTGCTTTTATTTGATTTCTTTTCATGGAAAACAGCCTTCAGTACTCTTGGTAACAAGAGGAAATTGCCCTTGAAATAATTGCTTCTGATTACACAGATCTCTCTCTTGCCTCTTATTGCATCTTTTCAGCAACACAGAACACTTTGGATATTTGATTTTGCGTTTCCCCTATCTCTTGCCTCTCCCCTCTTCTTTGATGTACATTTTTTTCTCTGGTATACACAGTGCAGCCCTTTCCTAACTCATGGCTGCATTGACACATGTGTTAGCCTCAGTATAGTTCTTATTTCATTGTGTTCTCCCTTCTCACTTTCTTTACTAAAAATAAACCCCACAAACAACCAAACAACAGTGCAGTATTTTCTATTAAACCTGAGCATCACTACTGAACAGTTCTAGTGATCTTTTAGCTGACAAAAATTACTTGCACAGCATATGTAGTTTCTGCATCTTTACCCATTATTTTAAGGTCAAGAAAACCAGGAGTTGTGGCTGGATAAAATTAAATTGCATTACACTGGATAAAACGAAATTGCATTGCAAGCCAGTGGAAGAATGATGCCTTAAAACAGGTTTTCTATTACCTTTAAGATCCCTGCAAGAAAGCCACTGCAATCTGAGATGGATCTCCACAAGAACTTTAAAGGCAAGATTTTTAATTCGTTTGTACAAGCATCAAACTCTGCTGCAAGGACACCTGCAACGCAGAGAATAAGGACTCCTTCTGCACTGTAATGAGTGCACTGACAGTCAGTTTATCAGCACTCCAGGCTGGGCTGTCCTAGGCACAATATTGACAGAGTTTTCTATTACCATGCAAGAAATCCAGGCTAGATTCTTTTTCATTTTCTCAGTCACTGAGCTTGAAAAGCTGGGACAAATCTGAGCAGCTAATCTGATTCTTGTCAGAGAAAGCTGGGAAGGCAGGTGGGAGAAACATTTATTCCTTTTTCTGAGTTGGTTTGCAAAGGCTTTTGCATACAAACCGTCTTAAAAGACCACTTTTAATAAGCTGTCCGTACAAAAACTTAGCCGACTGTGCAAAGGCTGAGAGACAACAGAAGGATGTAAAATACTGCAAAGGAAGGGGAGGAAGAGGGGGAGCATGTAAGGTGTTATATTTTGACCATTCCCCTTGCTCTGCACCTTTCCTTATCCTTTGGTTGCACCAAATCTTCACATCAGACTTACTTCTACTTTTGTGTATTGGCTGGCATATTTGACAAACTGCTACAAACATAATAACTCCCTTAGCCACTGTGCTGAATGCAAGACATGTCTCCCAAGACTAGGTGCTCTAGAAGAAGCCTTTCTCATGCAAGGTCTCCTCAACTATAAGCAAACACACTGTAATGTTTGACTTCATGTTCACTAGAGGGAAATAATGAAATATTTTCCCTCAAGCCCTGAGATGTGAATGGAAAACACTACATCTTTTCCAAAGCATTTTTTTTCCTGCAAAAATCCAGAAAAACTGCCCTAAGGACTTGAATCCTGAACATTAGAAAGGCCCAGCTATGTGCGTACAAATGGGGTATCCCTCCAGCACAGGGGGTCCCCCACAGTCAGTTTGTAACTAAACAGGGTGCAAGAGAAAGGGCAACCGGAGCAGAGTCACTAGGAGGAATCACGTGGGCTCATTCAGCTGGCCGTAAATATAATCCCTCCACCAAGCTACCACATCAAGATGTCACTGGCCTTTTCAAGCCCAGAGGTCTGCAAATACAGCACAGCTCTGCTTTACCACATACAACCACCGTTTTACAACATGATTCCCTGGGAAAGTACTACAGAAGAAAAAACCTTTCTAGGAGGCCTAACTGTCTCTTCCTCATAATCAGTATTTGTCTTTTACATCCAACTGCAAAACAAGGAAAATAATCTCCTTCAAAGACTTTGCATGTGACTGTTCAAGATGGTTGTGGCTATTGTACAACATCGGCTGCAAAGCGTCATGAACCATCTCTGGGTGCTAACAGGCTCAGAGTCTGTCGTCATCTGATGGTCCACGATGACAGACAGAGGTATGAGGTAATCTGCCACCCCTTCTTCCCCACAGGTTCACAACTTGACTTCTGAATAAGGTTAAACCCTAAAATATGAGGTTTAATAATACCCCTTCCAAAGTTTTTGTGCTTTTAATTATAACTCTGAATAATCTTCCTATCCACACAAGTCACTCATTTCATTTTTGACCTTGAAGACCAAGTGATATCACAAAAGAACAGGAAAGAAAACACAGCAAAACACCAGAAGCCTAAAGAAAGGTCCCAATCTCAACCAAGAGACAGGAAATG